GATTTTGAAAATCTGGAAAAAGATAATGAGAAGTTAAAACAAGAGAATAAATTTTATGGCAAAAGAAGCGCCGACAAACCAGAAAGTTCCTCAAACGAATGTGAATCTTGCAAAGCTTTAGAGGAACAAGTCACAAAACTTGAGAGTACGGTCAAGAAATTTAATACTCCACACAAAGATCTTAATTTACTCCTTGACACCATGCATTTTTCTAAAGGAATAGGTTTTAATAAAAACGAAGCTAAGGATAAAGAAAACGTTGAGCAAACACCTAGACAACCTCCTAAGGCTCAACATAAGAAAGCTAAAAATCAAGTAAATAGAAAACCTAGTCAATCTAAGAACACTAGACAACCTAGACAAAAACCTAAGAATGAAAACGTTCATGGTAGACAACCTTAGAAAAATTATCAAAATGTTTTTGTGCATAAAAATATTTTTTCTCAAAATAGAAGAGACAATATGAGAACACCTAGAAATGATCCTTTTGAAAACATGCATAAACCATCCTTTTCTCAAAATAGGACAAACATGATTAGGCCCCCTAGCTATTATCAACCTAGGCATATGTTCAACCCAAATGTAGTATGCCATTATTGCAATAGGGTAGGACATATAGCTCCCGTGTGTTTCACTAGACATAGGCACTTGACCTTTAATGAAAGACACACCATATTTAGTACTGACGAAAAGAAATTCTTTGGAAAAGGATATTCGAATCATAAACAATCTCCACAGGATAGTGCACAAAAGAAACCGTATTATTTCTTCTACTTTGACGAAAAGAAGAAAGTCCACATTCCGTTACCGGAACCAACACAGACCACACCGAGATATCGGCACTCCGTTTGGGTAGACTGGAACCCGCCAACCACTAGACAATGGGTTGGCCAAGGTAACTCCTAAACAATCATTTAATTGTGTGTGTGTATATGTGTGTGAATTTTGGGTGTGTGTGTGGGCAATAAAGGTCAACTAACCCCCAAGGACCCATAGACATACTTTGGGTACCAAAGTGTTACTCTTTTTTTTGCAGGGACGGTTCAAAGTGAAGAATTCTGGAAATTAGGGGGAACCAGCGATGGGTGGGCAATACCATCGCTGGGAGGGAAGTTTTTTTTTTTGAACCCCTCTTCCCATCGATGGGTGCTTCTTCCCATCGATGGGTAATTGACTCTAATTTTTTTTAAAAAATACTTAACGGATTTCCAGAACACCCTAACCCATCGATGGGTACTTTGTCCCATCGCTGGGTGAAGGACTTTTATCAAATTTTTTTTTCAGAACCTCCCAACCCATCGATGGGAACTTTCTCCCATCGCTGGGTGTTTGACTTAAATTTTATAACAGATTTCCAGAACGCCTTTACCCATCGATGGATAGTTTATCCCATCGCTGGGTGAGTTCATGTTTCTGTTTCAGAACCTCCAAACCCATCGATGGGAAGTTCCTCCCATCGCTGGGTGTTTGACACTATTTTTTTAAAATTCTTTAACGGATTTTCAAATCTACCAAAACAACGATGGGACGGTATTAACATCGCTGGGAAGGCCATGTTCTTTTTCCAGAAGCCACCTTCCCATCGATGGGCAAATGCAAACATCGCTGGGAAGGCAGCCATTGTTTTCTTCTTCGCTTTCCAGTGTCGACCTTCCCATCGATGGGAAGTTCCACCCATCGCTGGGAAGCCTGCTGCCAATTCAAATTTTTTAACCGTTGGTCACCGAATTTATTGCCCAACAGTCACTTTTTTGAATTTCAAACGAATTTCACACCCTTTCCTATATATATCCTTCATCTCTACTCATTTTAACACACATTTTTCACATCAAAATCTCCTCTTTTACACAATTCTTCATCTTTTTTGCTTCATTCATGGCCGGAGGAAAGAAGACAAAGGTTTCCAAGAAGAAGGGCAACGCCGAAGCTACGACCTCAGCGCCACCGCCGTTCCCCTACCTGGACGGCTCGTTTCTTGAGTTCGGGTCGGAGGAGGAACTCAACCGGTTCCTCACGCACTTTGCCAAGCGTCCCATTTCTCCGCCTAGGGTGCTGCCCGAGATGTACCCTCAACAAAAGGGGTACCACGACCTCGACAATCAGCTTCAAGCATCGGGTCTGTGGTCGTTCGTCTCCAAGAGCCGCTCGAGCTTAAATCCCGCCTTTGTGCGAGCCTTCTACTCCAATCTCCGCCGGGACGGGGACACCATTCGCAGTAGCATCAATCTCTACGACATAGAGATTGATCTGGCTACCTTCGCTCGGGTTGCAGGGCTGCCCACCCGCGGTGACGACATCGCAACCTATGGTGGCGACGATTGGATCCTCAACAACGAGGCGGTCATCATTCGTGAGCTTGGGATCACCAACTTGATCCGCCACAGCGGCGCACCGACGATTCACTCGGCCCCACCGGACAAGCGCCTCCTCCTCTACATCATCACCCGGATTCTCCGCCCCCGGGACAGCAGCCATACCTCGCTCTTTAACGAGGACTTGAAGGCGATTCATGCCATCATCCACGGCGCCTCCATCAATTGGGCGAAATTCGTGATGATTCACATGGTGGATTGCGCCTCCATCGCCACTGAGCGGAGCTTGCCATACGCCTTCCTCGTCATGGACCTCATCATCTCTGCCGACATCTCCATCGCCGGCCCGGATACGAAGATGACAAAGATTTGGATCATCCAAGACAGCACCTTCCGGAAGAAGTCCGGTGACGGAACCGGCGCTGGACTGAGTCGTGCCCGTGCCCCTGCCCCTGCCTCCGCTCCCGCCAAGGCGTCCTTACAGTCCATAGCCGATACTCTGAATCGGCTAACCCTCACAGTGGATGGCATGGGGCAGTCAATTGAGCGGATGGACTGGACGCTGCAATGCCAACACCATGACATGACGGCGTTCTTCCGTGGCATCAACTACGTCCCGCCGCCCTTTGACAGCACCATCCTCGGCCAGAACTATGAAGGTTCTTACTCTTTGGCATGTTTAAACGGTTCTCCAACAAAAACACCTTGAAAACCATCTTTCGCTTTTGGTCGTTTGACAAAAATCATTAAAAACGGCATAAAACTTGGCTAGCCGTGGGTTTCACTTAAATGACGTGGTTTTTAAAGTGTCTTACTCGATTTATTAGCCAAATACATCAAATAAGTGTTTTAAACACTTGGTTTTTATTTTGGAGAATTTTGAATTTTTCGGTCGGGTTTCGCATCGGTCGGCTAGGCCGTGGTTAAGGCAAAAACCATAGGTTCTTGACTAACCACTCACCCAGCGATGGGAAGATCTTCCCATCGATGGGTAAACGGCCCCTCAGCCAAACCAGTTTCCAGAACCATGCCAAACAGCGATGGGGAGTTCCACCCATCGCTGTTAGAGCCTTGGTGCAAAATTACCACAAGGCAGAATGACCTTGCCCAGCGATGGGAAGCCTATCCCATCGATGGGAACCCAGCGATGGTAAGGGTATACCATCGATGGGAAGGCATGACCGTTGGTGGTCATTAAAGGTTGATTCTTTCCTTGTTTGGAAGTCAACCTCCCACCCAGCGATGGGAAGCTTGTACCCATCGATGGGTAGGTGACCGTTGACTTCAAAACAGAAGAAAAATTGGCTTACCAGCGATGGTTGAGTCTAAACATCGATGGGAAGCCAATATTCTGCAGATCCCAAATCTTTTCAATCCC